CATTAATAATTTAGAAGGAAAACACAAAGAAAAATCATAAGCGTGTCGTGGTTTTATATATATGTGATAAAAAATCATGTTAATTTACATAAACTTTAGCTTTGATTTTCTCGGTTTAGACAAAGTTTATTTTCAAAATTACTTCGCCAATGAACTCGTATAAGATGAGTCGTTTTTTGAAGCCATTTAAAGCACTTGCAGTCGTGTTTTATCACATATAAAACACTCCGCTACGCGTCGTGTTTTATATGTGATAAAACACTCCTACTCGTGCTTTAAATAGTACATAAATATTCTTTAATAAACTTCTTCAAACGTAGCCGTTGTGTTTGTTATATATGAAGTCTTGGAAATTTATCCTCATGTTCATCTGGTAGGTAGTCAATCTCTTCGGAGATCAAAACAATCTCTTCGGAGAGCAAAACAATCTCTTCGGAGAGCAAAACAATCTGTTCGGAGACCAAACCAGTCTCTTCGGGTATCAGAACAAGCAAATACATATAACTTTGTACATTTATACCGTACTCATATAGTAGCTATATTAAGTGTATAAATTCAGATCACTGTGCATGTAATTGCGGATCGACTGTACGGAAATTAACTAAGTAAGCAAATGCTGAACGATCTATAGAGACCGTGCCCCGTCCAGATTTGTAAGAAATGTCCCCATGCAGGTCATCCATTTTGAACAAGATAGCTATAGTAATTTCAAGCAATGTTGTTTTCAATTTGTGCAAATACAACATATTTTTATCAATTCATTTGGATATTTTAAGTTATGTGTCAACAAAAACATGAATACAGCAAAACAATCATTGTGTAATATGTTCTACAGTCAAAACATAGGAGGCAATATTGCCAATATTTTCATTATGTAAACGTGCAACAACTGGATGATATTTGCGAGTCTCGGTGATAAAAAGCAAACACGACGCCAAAAATATGGCTGATATCGCGTTTTTGCGGGAGTAAGTGAAATAGAATGTATTATATTTATGAAAAACTTTTGCTTTTCGGAAGTTAGAGCCATGTTGGCACTGCCTTTTCAGTGCGGGAGCATTTTCAGAACTTTCGTCCCGGGTTCAGGTTTTGGAATATATACCGGCATATTGACCGCCATGGTCATTTTACCCTAAAATGTTATGAGATTACCTGTGCTAAATGAAACGCATACAAACTCTTATACAGGTCCTACGCTAGATGTTTCATAGCATTTCAAGCGTTTTTCTGAACGGTTGAGGAAATCAATATAGATGGCCTGGGGATAGCGCTATTTGGCCTTCCCACAACCGGCCCCAGTCTTTCAGCTTTCAAGCAACACCAAGACTAGTCCCTATTCTTATGTGCACGCCTTCTGTAAACCCATGACGTCACCGATATGAATGCTTAGTAAGGCGTACTACCAAGAGACCTAGGGATTAGTCTGAGCAATACCTCAGAAACTGCGGCCACAAATAGATAGCTCATCTTAACTAAACATGAGCAGAATGTACATGCTGATATGTACTGATTGTTAATGAGGAAAGTTGCTAAATTATTTCTACATTATATCGGCAAAGTTTTTAAATTTATTAGTAGAATGTCGAGATCCAGAAAAAGTTTATAGGCACAAGAGAAATATTAGGTGACTCAAGCACAATTAAGAGACTATTTAAACTTACAATTTGAGCTTCAGTTGACTTAGTTATCCTCAAATAAGTCGAAATAAAGCAAAATAGCGCGGGAATATTCCTGATTGAGCCCACAATGTCATGCAATGAATGCTCAGCGACGCTTGTATCATTGGCGACAGAAAATGGCCAAGAACGATTCGATGTTAAAATGGCGAGCCAAATTTAACAACGAAATTTCATGGATAATACAATACAACATTTTACGAAACTAAAAGTTTACAGATAAGAGAAACTTGGGATTCTGATTGTTTCCCATGCAGGTAGGCAACCTCCATATATCGACACACGTCGTGAAGGGGTGACTTAGGATGTGGACCGGGATTTCTCTAGCCCCCCTCCCCAATCAAGACCAGTCTTCTGCCACCTTATTTTTCTCTGGCGCCCCTGAACACACCGATAATATTGCTTACTCTGAACGGTGGTGAAATTGAGATCAAAACCGCTTCGTTCAACAATACCATCTGTTACCATTTTCAGTGTGACAACATTCAGACCACGTGCAAATGGAGCCGGAGAGGTAGTCCCACAAAATCTTTGCGATGAACCTCCAGATATGAATATGAGGTAGTCATAACAGATGCTTTCTGCAAAGTAAATGTAGTACATATTGATAATATGTAAACGAGGGGGCGCTCAGAGACTCATATTTCCGCCAGGTTGTGTATCATGATAAATATACAATTGTCTAATTTTTGGATATATTTTACAACGCGTGGCAAAACGATACAACCTTTTGCGGATTTCTTATCCAATTGTCATCCAAATTAAAACAAATTAATCAACTTGGCTTTGGGCAAACTCCAATGATTTTTAACACCATTTACAATTACATGCAATTTTCAGTCGGGGATGTTTCGCAGTTAGCTGCGCAGATATTAACAGGCATAGCCCTAGAGTGTAACATAAATTATGTTACCTACCATCTTTACTACTCTGAAAATCAACGTGAGAGAAAGCAAATCTAAAAGTTGTGTCCAAGGGACGTTTGATCGTCAGGGTGCAATTAGTGTTCGAGGGATAGTTGTTTGGATAGTTAGGAGATATAATCTGTCCACTGGATGCTGTAATCTCCCTTGTTGGGCAAATGTTGATGACTTGGCCTGTAGGAAAGACAAGTAAAATAGATAGATAGATAGATAGATAGATAGATAGATAGATAGATAGATAGATAGATAGATAGATAGATAGATAGATAGATAGATAGATAGATAGAAAGGTAGATAGATAGATAGATAGATTTGGCACTTGTAACCTACGTAGGGCATTTTTGTAACGTATAGGGCATTTTTGTAACCTATAGGGCATTTTTGTAATCTGTGCTTTTGTAACCTAGATAAGGCATTTTTTTAACCTAGATATATAAGGCATTTTAATACCTAGGTAAGGCATATTTGCAACCTAGTAGGGCATTTTTGCAATCTAGTAGGGCATTTTTGTAACCTATGGCAGAGCATTTTTGTAATTAAGTTATGTCAGTTATTTAATTTTATCATAAATTTAGTGGAACTAAACTGTTTTTATGCACTTGGATAATTCCTATTTTTGAATATATTTGTTTTGCCGTCTTGTTGTTTTGATCAATAGTTCAAGTGCAAAACGGAGTCTTTAAGAGAATTTTAAAGTCGAGCTTTTTTAATGTGCAAGGCTAAAAATCATGATAAAGTCCGAAAATTTTAACTGAAAAATTTTAACTAATATCTGAAACTAACAAAAAACAGAAAATCTCTAAAATGTAACAGTATTAAGGTTATTTTAGATAGGAATTAAAAACGTAGTTTGCATGATTTTAAATAATTCTTCTTCCGTGTTGTAAGTAATGTTTACAACATGAGCGGCCGTGTTGTATCAGATATTCAAACTCGAGCCGAAGGCGAGAGTTTGTATATCTGATACAACACGGACGCGAATGTTGTAAACAACTTAAAAAACGGCTCATCTTATGAGTTCATTGGCGAAGTAATTTTAAAAATAAACGTTATCTAAGCCGAGAAAATCAAAGTTAAAGTTTATGTAAATCAACATGAATCTGTACCACATATACAAATACGACACGCTTATGAATTTTCTTTGTGTTTTCTTCATGAATTATTAATGAGTTTTTTTTAAATACTTTTCAAAACTTTTTTTCTTCTTTTTATTCATGAATTATATCATGCAGGTGGCAAAAACATAATGGTTTGCTATAGTTTTTTATCGTACTTCGTTGGAAATTGGAAATTTAATGATGGAAATTTAATGACATCTTCGTTTTGGGGAGGTTCAGCGTCAGCTGTGGCGTAGATAACAAAATGTATAGTTGTACGGATCATACAGGCCTATAAAAGACAAAACCACTTCTCGATGTTTCGAGCAAAGATCCTAAAAACCCTTCCCATGAAGATGGGCCTTTGCTCGAAACGTCGAGAAGTGTTTTTGTCTTTTTAGGCCTGTGTGATCCGTACAACTACATCTTGTAATTTAATTACAGCTATCAAGATTTAGACAACATTTTTAAATTAGCTACCACCTTAAAACTTCACACTCTTGGTCCGAACTAAATATTTTGTATGCATTTAAATATATTTTTAATTTATCTTGGGATCATACTGAAGCAATTATTAAACACTCGCATATAGTCCATATACCTACTAAGAGCAAAGTAAATTGAGCAACAAAATTGCTACAACTCGCAACAAAAACTAATAACCAGGCATGTTAACAGAAAAAGTGAGTCCTTGTTACATCTAAATTGTTTGAAAATTATGTTCCTCTAGTATTTGGTCTGTCCCACGCTCGCTTGGTAAGATAAAAAAATGTATCCACATGTACATGCATGTGGTAGGCGGGTTAATTACTTTTCAATGACTTTGTAATATGCAATTATGGAACATAACAACGGCGTTGACAACCAGGTTAACTTGGGCTTAGCAACTTTTTGACAACCAGGTTAACTTGGGCTTAGCAAATTGCAATTTTTATTTCTGTTTGGAAATTTATTACTCAAAACGTTTCCTTTAAGAGCAATCAATTTCATTAAAACGAATTTCGATTGCGTGTTGAAAATAAATTTGCGTATACTTAAATAAAACGCTCGCGAAATTTATCCCGATGCACAGCTTATTGTCATGGGGACGCGAAAAATTGTTGAGCTCAGCAAAAATATTGACTGTTCGCCTAAACATGTCCGCTTTGCTACGGGATCCAATTTGTTATGTAAATTCGTATTGTTTTAATCCCTCTAATTACGTCGTCCTGAATATTAATTTCCTTACCCTGGCTCACCCTCATTTACTGAATATTTTTAAATATTAATATGAGGTACTTAAAAGTACCTCAGTGGCGCTCCGTTTTATGGTAATGATGGTTTCTCTCCCCGTTTTATGCCAGTGATAATGCGTCACCCTGTTTTATGCTAATAATAACGCGTCACCCTGTTTTATGCTAATGATGATACGGCACCCTGCGGCGCCTCCCCAAAAGGGGCCAAACACCTACACTATAACTCAAGTACAACAGTTAAAAACTTCCACTAGTAAGTCTCCGTAATTATATTATATTATATAAATTTGAATATTTAAAATTATCAAATAAACGCTGTGGCACCATATACCCTATCCTTCAGTGAATTTAAACTGGCGGGCATCAGCACCCGTCACAGTTGTCACAGGCGGGCTAAGCCGCCGTAAAATAGATTAAGTCATTTATGTCTTGATTAACAATCGTGAGCTTTTCTCATCACCAAGTAGTTCAACTATGCTTATTTGTTGGTGATTTTAGGCCCCACTAGGTCATACAAACTGACCAAAACTAATTATGAAGCAATTTTTCATATTTTTGTAGGCCAGAAATTGCAGCAAATGGTATTTTCGAGCTTCAATAATAGAAATTTTTTAAAATTTGGATCCCTGAAATGGCATTTGCAGCATTCTGAGAGCACATTTTGTAAGAGATTCCAGGTTTTCAAAACATTAAGTTAATGGTGCATTTTGGTATAAATCATGTGCTAAGCATGAAAAAACGACGTTTCAGAGAAAATATTCTAGATGATTTCAAAAATACATTTGTGAATGGAATTGCAATTTGGTTTAATTAATAACCGAGGCCAATGACAATGTGTGACCTTGAAAAAGTTAAATCAAAATCCGCTGTATCAAAATTTGATCAATCTATGCCCAGCTCTATTGTTGATTATTGAACAGTCCTATTACCTTATTATGGTGATAATGAGATTGTTATTGCACAAACGATACCATAGCAATGTCAATAGACCTGCCTAGAAGCGTTAAATTATCACGTAATTGTTGCAATGTAACAGTAACTTGTAACAGTAACTTCATAATAAATATCTAAACCAGAGCAGTGAAAGAACAGTCACCTGAAAATTCCTACCTGTAGATACTGTATAGTCCGTAGTAAATTAGATACGGATAATTGCTATTATTTTATGAACACTCGGCAGATACTCTATACTGTATATGCATGTATATCATAAATTTAGAACCTATATACTGACGTAATGGGACACGATTAAGGTTACATCATATGATCGATTCCTGTTTCAGAAAAATTGTCACTGCGTGCTCAATTTTTTAGTTACGTTCCTCAAATTTGGTACATGCAATGATATAATTTTAGCTTGTTTTTATTAAAACTTGCCATTTCGTCGCTGGTTTTATTGTAACAAATAGTGCTGCTTTATATCGTGCTTTCATTTTTAAATTGAAATCTAGCTAAAATATAATTTAAGAAATATTTGTGGGGTGGCCCCCCCTCACCCCCCCCCCCATTAGTTTCCGCCACTGCTAGGGGGGTTGAAGCTGGGCGCATGCCTCCCAGGAAATTTTTATAATTTTGTCTCCGAAATAACATTTCCTGCATTCTGAGAACACATCTCTCAGCTTCTCAAAAATCTCAGCTTCTCAAAACAAGGTTTTAATGGTGAATTTGTAATAAATTGCATGCTAAACATTCAAACATAACATAAGTTTAAGTATGCGCACCAACAAATTTTGTTTTTTAAACTTCTTTTCAATGTTAAACTCATTTACTCAATACAAGTCCCAGGGCCCTGGCTTTGGGACAATAGGCTATTTTTTTCTTCAGTGGTGGGGCAGAGGAAGGGGCCCAGTGGGGCAAATGCCCCACCAGTCCATGGTAATAAAAAATGCCTTTTATAACGTTGTATATAGTGTCGTTTAGCCTTATATATTGTTGTATAATCTTGTATACTGTTGTATAATGTTGCATAGTGTCGTCTAGTGTCATATAGCCTTATATAGTGTTGTATGTACTGTTTAATAAACGAGTAGGAGTGTTTTATCACATATAAAACACGACGCGTAGCGGAGTGTTTTATATGTGATAAAACACGAACTACGAGTTAATTAAACAGCTTCAAAAACGTCTCAGTTAAATCACGGCATTGGCGAAATAATTTTCCAAAATAACTTTGTATTAGCTGAGAAAATACAAGTTGAAATTTGAAGCGTGTTTTATCACATAAGACACGCCACGCTCACGACTTCTCTTTGTGTTTTCCTCATGAATTATTAATGAGTTTTTGAAAGTCTTGTATAACATTGTATAGTGTTGTATAGCTTTATATATTGTTGTATATAGTCTTGTATAACATGGTATAGCGTTGTATAGTGTCGCATAGCCTGATATAGTGTTGTATAGTTTTGTGTAACGTTGTATGTGTTGTATAGTTTCGTATAGCCTTATATGTTATTGTATAGTGTCGTATAGTGTTGAATAGTCTTGTATAATGTCGTATAGTCTTGTGTAATTAACATTGTGTAGTATCGTATAGCCTTATATAGTGTCGTATACGTACGGTTGCATAACGTTGTGTAGTGTTGTATAGTCTTGTATAGTGTAGTATAGTGTCGTGTATAATCTTCTATAGTGTCATAATTTTTATAGTTTTGTATAACGATGTATAGTGTTGTATAGTGTCGTGTAACCTTATATATTGTTGCATAGTCTTGTATAACGTTGTATAGTGTTATACAGCGTTGCATAGTGTCGCATAGCCTTTATATATCGTTATATAGTCTTGTGTAACATAATTATTATTATTATTATTAATTAATTCTCCAAACATTTGGTTTTTCAGATTAATATACATGTAAATTATATCTAAATTATTCTATTGTATATTTACAGTTTAAAATCGTTAAAATTGGATAAGTTCATTAAGATTTTGAAAGACAAAGTTCAAGCAGATAGTCATAAAAATTACTTTTAAAGTCTTTACAATTGTCATGTACAGTAATGTTACTAGGTAGAGAGTTCCACAGAGATACTGCTCGGTATTCAAATGTTCGTTGTCCGGCCGCCGATCTATAAGCTGGAATGTTTAGTTTTTGTTTGTCTTTAGTGTTTCTATCGTGTAAAGATAATCTCTCCTCAAAATATGAATTGAGATAGTCAGGGGCTAGTCCATTCAAACATTTGAACGTTAGAACTCCAAGAAAGTATTTAACATGTGTGGGACAGGTAGCCAATTCTGTTGTTTGAGTATTGGAGTAATATGCTCATATTTTGTGTTCCTGTGATTATTCTCGCCGCGAAGTTTTGCACTTTTTGTAATTTTTCTATATTCTTCTTAGTCGTACTGGACCATACGTTTGAGCAATAATACAATTTGGAAAATACTAGGGACGAGATGACATTTTCCAAAATCTTAGGGTCAAAAAGATGTTTAACCCTGTTTATCTAACATAAGCTCGCAATACAAGTACAAACAGTGTTTGCTATATGTTCGTTAAAACTTAGTGTTGAATCAAGTTGAATCCCAAGATCGCGTGCTGAAATAGTGGGAGTAATCCTTTTCTCAAGTAATGTCACATAAAAGTCATCCGGCAATCGTTGCAACATTTTGTGTGTTCCTAGTACTAACACTTTGGTCTTGTCTGGATTAATTAGTAGACTATTGTGACAGCACCATGCTGTGATTTTTGACAGATCTTCATTGATATTCCGCATAACTTCATTAACATACTTGAAGGGAAACGAAAGATACAATTTTAAATCATCTACGTACGATTCTAAGTCACCGAAATTCGTGATGGTGGGCAAATCATTCAAATATATATATGGAACAAAGCAGGTCCTAATATCGAACCTTGCGGTACACCATGAGTGATTATGACCTGATTCTGACACAACTGAGCCAATCTTCACCTGCTACGCCCTTCCGGTCAAGTAACTTTTGAACCATTCTAAGGCGCCAAGGGTTAGGCCTAATGCTTTTAGCTTTGTTAAGAGTTTGCGGTGATCTATACTGTCAAACGCTTTTGACAAATCCAGCAATACTATGACTGTAAGTTCCTTTGAGTCCATTGCTTTAAACACCTTGTCTGTCATAAACACGCCAAGAGTCTCACATGAGTGTAGTTGTTTATTAATTACCACTTTGATGTTTACTTAGGCATTTCTTTTTGTTCGTATAAGAGGTCAGTTGATTTAATGCTACTCGTTCACAAATTTTAGAAGTCGCTGGTAGTAACGATAGTGGTCGATTGTTATTTGCCACTTCGTGATCTCCCTCTTTAAGAAGTGGTATTACTTCTGATATTTTCCAGGCTGATGGAAAGACTGAAGTCTGTAACGAGCGATTTATCATGTCAGTAATAACTGGGAGAATACATGGAAGTGCATCCTTTATCGTAGACATTCGTACTTTATCATGGCCAGGAGCTTTGTTCGATTGGAATGCCATAACTGTCCTTCGTACTTCTCCACACGAGACAGGAGCAAAACTAAATTTTTTGTGACTCATCGACAGCCAGCGAAACACTTGTTGGAGGTGCAGGCAAGTTATATAATTCTATTAAAGATGTGCAATCTTCTGATACTCTCCTACCAACTGAGGTGAAAAACTATTAAACTCATTAGCAACTTCTTTCATATCCTTTGTGTAGACTTGTTGAGTGCTTTCTTTACGAGGAATACAATTCTTAATTATCTTCCACTTTGAATTAATGTTGCTAGTTCTTTCCATATATATTCCCTTTCGGCATCTCTCAGCTTGGATTTTACTTCTTTTCTTAGTTTACGATACATTTGCCAGTCTGTTGCCAGTCCGTTTTCAATAGGTTAGTTCTGTATGGCATAAGTTCGCGAATTTCTGTGCTAATAAAGGGGCAGCTGTGGTGTTTAATCCTCACTGTTTTCACAGGTGCGTGTGTTTCCGTTACATGGAGAAACCTCTCATTGAAATGGCCAACCATTACATTTGCATCATCCATGATGGAAATATCATACCAAGGTATTCATTGTAAATCCGCGAAGAAACTATCAGGTTTGTAGTTTTTGTAGGATCTCACACATCTATAACTAGGTGGTGGCTTCAACATCTTAACTTTCAAAGAAGCATATATTAGATAGTGATCACTAATGTGAGATAAAGCCACCCCATGATTTTCTACTAAACTGACATTCGATGTCATAATAATATCAATAAGGGAAGATGACGTTTCTGTTACTCGTGTAGGTTCTTTTATCAATTGGGTTTGATTCACACTAGTACTTGTACAAAAATCTAGTAGCGACATAGCCTTTGGAGAATCCGGTTTCAGCAAATCACAATTTAAATCACCTACAACAATTATGTTATTTCCTAATGTGACAGCATGTATGTAATTTTCCATGAAAATATCATGAAAGGTTGAAGTAGGACAATAGTCAGGCCTATATGTCACACAGAGGAGAATTGATTTTAGTTTCCTGAGTTGTATTAGCATCCATAGCTGATGAAATCCGAATTCAGATATCCCTGTTATGTTTTTGAGACATTTGATTTTAATCGACGATTTAGAATAGACACAAACACCCCCTCCAGTCTTTCCCAAACGGTCCAATCTTGTTAGTTTAAAGCCCTCGATTTCTACTTCCGCGTCTGTCACCGTGGAGTTTAACCACGACTCTGACAAGGCTAAAATATCATAGTTCTTATCTATCATAAGTTCTCGAACCTGTATAAGATGATTCCTATTCGTAATTCAGCGAACATTTTGGTGGGCAATTCTAAGTTTCGATCTTTGCATATCCGAAAGCGGTTTTGGAACATGTTCTTTTGTTATCGCAGTTAGGGTCTTTTTCCAAGAGTTTACAATTTGAATATTTACTAGGTTCGAAAAATTTGGTCCATTTTGAGTCATATTACTATTATAGTTCATCTCACTACAACGTGAAGTCATTCTAACTGGAATCTTTTGTAACACATGATTGACATGTTTAATATTTTAATCTGGCGGGGTTATTGCCACAGACTGATCATAAATAACATCGGCTCCTTGTCGTGTTGATGGACGAATGTGGGGTTTTGGTGGTAGAGACACAAGTGGTGGTATAAGTGGTGAAGGGTACGTGTGCGGGAACGGTTGGAAAATTGGGTGTTGGATCGGGGGAAAATAGTTTGGATTGAAGGGAAAAGGAACTTGGTAACAATCGGGTTGTGGAATATTAAAAGAGGGAGCTCTTTGAATAGGGTTTTGTCGGAATTTCGGCTCACATATTGTAGGTAGGACATAATTATGCGAAAAATCGCATCTAGAGCCCTTCAGGCAGTGACCATTTCTTTTCAAAAAAGGGCATTGCACTGATGCTTTTGTCCTTTTTTCCATGTTGATATCGATTGGAATTTCGATTTGACATAGATTGAGATTGATATTGAGCGTGGGCCTGTTGATATCCCCTCTTATCTGTTAAAGGCCCTGACGTGCGTACAGAAAATTTTCTCGCGTCTTTTTCTTTGGATTGGGTGTTTTGTGTCGCAACTGGTAAGGGACCTCCTTGGGATTATTATCTTTATTAGGGGCAATGGGTTGGGATTTATTTACTGAGGCATTGTTAGAGATGTCACCGTTCCTACTGAGGCTATTTAAAATACTAGATTTGTCCTTAGGGGACACTTTCTCTTCAAGTTCAGGCAAGCGTGTTCTTAAATGCAAATTGTCACTGGCCAATTTACATAGCTCTTGTTTACTTTCTGCAATGATTTGGGTCTGTTCCGAAAGTTTAGCCTTTAAGGCTGTCACTATGGACACTATATTTACCTTGAACGTACAGAATCGTTCCTCCATAGATAAACATTCTGCTGTACGCGACCTAAAAGAGGTGGAACTGTCGATTGTTTGGGCAAAGGACATATTGACGTTGCCATTTCGAGGCAACATACCTTGATAAGATCGATCAACAATTTCCTGTATCTCTTCAAGAGTTGGAATGTCCGTAGTATGTGTTACCGTCTCGCATTCGGATTCAGCACTATCACTGACGGTCTATGACTTTTCCACCAGCTTCGGACACGATTTCGCCAATATGCCACAATTTATCTTTATTCGAAAAGCCAAGTTTAAAGCTTATACTATTCATCGGCTTGTCTTCATTCATAATAGTAGCAAATAGTTCTTTTAAATTGTCTCCTATACTGCCTTTGAAAGTCAGCATGCCCAGTTCATAGTTCCAAGTGATAGGTCAGAATTGGAGCTCACAAATTTCTTATATTTGCCACCGGGTGATAGTCATTTGCCAGCCTGACCAATATAGTGTTGTATAGTGTCGTATAGTCTTGTATATTATTGTGTAGTGTCGTAAAGTGTTGTATACTCTTGTATAGTGTCGTATAGTCTTGTATAACGCTGTATAGTGTCGTATAGTGTTATATAGTGTTGTATTATAGTATAACATTGTATAGTGTTGTATAGCCTTGTATAGTGTCGTACGTTCATTAATAAGTTCACCTTCTAACAAGATATGTAGCTTTTGACAGTTTTTTGTAAAAAAACATTATACAAACAGACAGACAGACAGACAGACAGACAGACAGACAAACAGACAGACAGACAGACAGACAGACAGACAGACAGACAGACAGACAGACAGACAGACAGACAGACAGACAGACAGACAGACAGACAGACAGACAGACAGATAGACAGATAGACTTACAAACAGACAGACAGACAAGACAGACAGACAGACAGACAGACAGACAGACAGACAGACAGACAGACAGACAGACAGACAGACAGACAGACAGACAGACAGACAGACAGACAGGATATATAATAGTGTTATGGTATATTTCAAACACTCATTAATAATTCTTAAGCTTATTGGCAAATCATGTCAATCATAATACAGGGTCGGAATTTCCCAAGAAATCGACATTGTTTTAAGGACAAAAGATTTTAGATGCCTGGGTGATTTAAAATTGCACAACTGTCAAAATTACTGCACACGCGGGTGCATAATATTTAACAGTACAACAACAGTAATATGATCTATCAGCAATTCAATTTCAATTCCAGGGGCCTAAAATCTTTTATGCTTAAGAATTGCAAAGTGGATTTCTTAGGAAATTCTGAGGTTGCGTTTTTTTTATACACCTTGTATGTCACATGCAGTGGCTTTAAACCTGATGAAAAACTCGTAATTAGTATTCTTTATATAAAGAATACTAATAAGGCAGTATATCTATTGAATTTGTAGTCGTGTTTGAAGCCTTTTAATAAACTCGCAGGTCGTGTTTCATTAGGTCTAAAGCCACTCACGCTGCGCGCTCGTCCCTTTAAACCTAATAAAACACTCCTGCTCGTTTATTAAACAGTACATAATAGTGTTGTTATGGTATATATAATAATGTTATATTTCCATTGTTCATAGTATTAACAGTCCTTGGCTCTTGTGCATTATATTTTATCCATTATTAATACTGTTATTAACTGTGAGTCATTCCAGGTTATTACCATATGGTTATTACTATATGGTTATTACTCTAGAAGTGACCACACTTGACTTTGTGTCTAAGAATATTGCAAAATTCGAAAATTAACCTTAGTGACAATCGCATAATAGCTACATGTGTGGACGTAGCCCTGCGCGTCACATTATACATATATTGTCGGAGAAATAAGCTATTAGCTACTATTGTTTGGAGTGCTCAGAAAATGACCTGTTCCATTACGGAGAACTGTTTTCTTAATTTTAGATAATTAGAATATTGTTGTAATGGCATATACGCACGCGATTGTTACAATAAAATACGATTTTCATTGTTTAAAAATTATAATAGTCCTATGTTTGCATTATAGTGTTATTTAGTTTTGAATTATCCACGGATTATAAACAGATTTTGAACAACCTAACCCAAAGTTTTGGCCGCGAGGCAGCACTTTCCTTGCGTTAGTAACTTCTAGTATTTTGTGTGCAACGGAGCCAGTATGGTTGTCCTTAACAGACAACGGGAAAATATTGGAAAAATAATTTAAATGAATGAATGAATGAATGAATTTATTAGATTGTCACACAAATCACACAGTCACAGATAATTAATTACAAAGATCAAAAACTATTAATTTACAAAAGGGTAATAATAACGGTTTACATTTATGTGACGAAGAGGTTTGAAGAGAAACCACTTGGCTTATTAGGTGCAACAAACCTCCTCTTATGTTAGATTTATCTCAATGATAATTATATGAATAAAAATTGGTTTTATTAATTAACTGTGGTATAAGACGAGCAGAGATGCTTTTTCATTTTTTTAGTAAATGACGAATATGACACACTATTTATTATATTATTATTTAGATTGTTATAAAGAAGTGGACCTTGAAGTAATACAGGGTGTATCAAAAAAAACTGAACAGATTTGAAATTGCTCTCAATTTCGCAAAACACCTATTTGCATCCCGTTTTTTATATATATAGCTT